AACCTAATAGTTTCTCACCCATTTTTATAATGGTTGGCTTTCGGTCTATCCACAAAAGTCATTTAAAATAAAGAAATTTAATTATTAAATACACATTTTAATTAGATTTGTGATATTGTTTGCGATTATCAACAAGTTTATTAATATTTGACTCAATAATACTTATGTGTTTAATATATGCATTCATTTGAATGATTGATAATTTTTAATTTAATCATTAAAATATAATTTTAATATTGAGATTACACTTGGCTTTACTACTCCAACTTACTAATAGTAAGTACAGTGCCTATCAATAATGTAAATGTTAACACCCCATAGAAGTCATTCTTTATGAGTTGAATACAATCACTAAATTATAAGACACTGTCTATTCAATCGTCACTCAAATTCAATGCAAAATAACTTTTATTTTATATGATTTGAATACAATGTTTGCGATTTATTAATACACAAAAAGTCACATTTAGATTATTATAGTTTTATCAAAATAAAGTAATTTAAATATTATTGTATTCATTTCAATTAATTTAGAATTTGAATGATTTGCTAATTATTGGCACACAATTAGTTATATTAATTATAGAATTAAACGTCATAATTAAGATTATAATAAATGGCATTTGTATTAAAACACAATTATAAAAAGCATTAAATTTACACAAAGTTATATTAAGATTATTAATGTGTAGTTTTATCAAAATACAGAATTTTACACACTTTTATGTTAATGTAATGTTAATTAGTTTGCAATTTTAATATCAAATCAATGATTTAAATTTGCTGTAAATGATTGGCACACAATTTACTTATTAATTATAGAATTAAACATAATTAGAATTATAGTTGTAATTAAGATTATAATAAATGTCATTCATATTAAAGCATAATTATTAAAAGTGTAAGAATTAACATAATTTGAAATTCAAAGTCTCATTTTGGAGTACTTATCCATTATAGCAATGGCTTCGATGTAATCCTTCTTCTTATTCAATAACTCAATCCTCAGCTCTTTGTCGGGATCTTCGCCAATGATTTCATCGATTGTCGAGAACTGATCCATAATTCGTTTCCGAAGTTCTTTTTCAATGAACTCTGAGGTGGCGTTTATGAGCTCTAATTGACACAATTTAGGCAAACGATCCCTACATTCAACCAATTATAATAAACACATTTAAAATCAAATATTATATTCAATATTATTCATAACAAACTTAAATGTCTTCTTAAGTATCACGAAATATGTGTGAAGATATCTCTTCACTTCATCCACTTGTGGTTTCATTACGTCGGGAAACGACATGTCTTGAGGCAAACCATTGGCACTCAATTGGGAACCGCTTTCAAAAAACTCGTCACATTTTGAATCCCAATCAATGGTTTGAGCGATTCTCGTACTTCTCGTAACGCCCGCCTCTACTAACCATTGATACCATTTGGCCATCGCTTCACCCGAATTAAAAGCCAATATAAAGTCACTGATAATGCGATAACTAATTAAATAAAAGTAAAATAATTTCAATATTAAAACTCACAAAACAATTAGGAAAATATCTCACGATTTTGGCAAAATGATAGCCAGTTTCCAACCATTGAACACCATTTGACAGCCATTTAAATCCAGTGAACCTTTTTTGCCATTTTGTTTCTCATCTCTAAACCAGTAAAGAGTGTTATCTCTGAGAACAAACCACAAGTCATTCTTCTGGTATGAAATCCAATCGCATTTCAAATTTTGTGCGTTTTGTTGAACCGCTAAAGCCGTGCCATTCACTTGTACCGGTGCTATCGGTGTAGTCTTGATATCACTAGTAAAACCATTATCAAAATTAATAACAGATTAATAACATTATAATGAATACCCAATCATTTCAATGAAGTCTTCGTGACGTGTGTTTGGATAGCATTTCTCCACTTTAATCAAATGGTCGACAATTTTTTTGCACTCTTTATTAGACTCGCGAACAAAATCGAGAGTTAAGTCGGCGAAGGATTTCCTAAATTGGGAATCATTTCCATTAATAATAAAAATTAGTTTTAAGACAAATAAAGTTACTTTAAATTAGGAAAACAGTTGATATCATCCAAACATTTGTTAATTGTTTTCCTAATTTCATCGGTAACCCAATCGACACAAGCGATTGACGGCTTTTTGAACAATTCTGTTAACAATCAAAAGTAATTAATTACAATATAATTCATTTGATGATAGCTTTAAATACCTATTTGTGGGCCAAAACATGTGGTGAATGCGGTGTTGGGAATGAAAACATCCAAACGAGTGCCCGAAGAGTTTTGTATAGCCGTCGCGATTCTACGGCCCAAACGCTTCTCGTCGTAAAACAAGAGATCAATTTGTTTGGGAAACGTGTCGTTCATCAGGACATTGATAATCGCACCACAACTCAGATCATTGACGTCCACTTCCCAACCGTTACCTCCCATTGAGCTCTTGAAATGTTTGCAAAACTTTTCAATCGTTTGAACCAAAATTCTTTGCTTTTCCATCGGGTCCTCCGGGAACTCAATTCCCTCCAAGTCTTCAGTAATTTGTCTTAATTTCTCTTCTGTTTTGGTCATCATTGGTGTCATCCGATTGGCGATGTGTTCAAACAGTTCCTTCTGAAGGAATTGTTTCAAATATTCAATACCCATACGTTTGGCCATCGATGGCCCATACGAGGGGTGATCCACAAAGAACTTGTGCTCGTCTTCCATTGCTTTCCTCATTTTTTTGTTTCCTTCGATGTCTTTTTGTGACCGATTAACCACTCCGTGGAAACCCCTCTTCAAACGGATGTCATGTTTTCCTAACAGTATATTCCGAGCATCGGTTCCCTTATCCATGAGATCCAGTTTTGTGAGAACACCGATAGTGCGGTTGCCCTCCGGATCCACTTTATTGGCCAGTTTTAGTGCATCAGATGTCGCCAAATCTGGATCAAGGAATAATTAGTTATAAAAAAATTAATGGTTTTTACAAATCAATAGATACCCTGATTGGCTGCAGTGACGGCCAAAATGAGACAATTTTCGCCCGAAATGTAATCCAAAATCATTCTCTCAATTTGAAACTCAATATCTTTGGGTTGGTTCCCAACGGCCACTCTTGTCATTCCCGGCAGATCTACTAGAGTTAGATCCAACATTTCAGAGGAATGGATCCTCAGATTGATTGGTTTCGGTGATATTCCTCTACTTTCGGGCACTACTCGATCGGTTTCGGCAATGATTTCATCCCTGATTTCGTTGAAATTGTAAAATTTCTTTTCGGGTAAATGAAGAAATACACCGAAATCTATACAAATAATCAATTTATTTATGAAAACAATTGGTATAACCAATGGTTTGCATACCTCTGGTGTTGGTTTTGTCTGACTTTATTTGTAGCACAAGTGGTCTTCGGGTGACAATACCCGACCCGCGGGGCAGGAAATCGCGGCCAACAATACTCTCCAAAACACTGGACTTTCCCGACGACTGTCCGCCGACGACCACTATTTGCGGCAAATCCAACGCAAGGCTGTCATTGAGTGTGTCCTGTAATTCATTCAGCATTTTGACCAAATTTGGGTCAAATAATGTCGTTTTCGGGTCACCCGAGAACATGGCTCTCAATGAACGGCAACCGTTGCCACTATTTGTGTCATTGTTGGCGACCCTTCCCTGGGCTCGAGTCGGTCGAGTCCGCGGCTCAAGTTTGCGGACAATCCATTTGGTCACAAGGATTACCGCTATCGCCAACAATATCAAAGACTTCGCGTCCATGTCATAGAGTGTCCACAACGGGTGGATAATGTATAACATGATAGGGATTACGGCAATCAGTGTCCACCACCCCATGCGATACAGTGTCCGCAACAAGTATACAATGAGTGTCCAAATCATGTCTAAAGTTGGCCTCAATTGCTAAACACGTCCAGTGTTTGAGCGAAACAAAGGGTTTGCAATCCTATTGTGTTGAAGGCTTGCATACAATGCACTGCTTTTGTATGCATTTAAGGGCTAAATACTGACACTGAATGTATTGTTAACGCATAGCGACCCAGGGGGAAAATGCACCCCCCTCCATTAAATTGAGGGATGTGGCAAAACATTGATTCCACCT